AATAATCTCCAAGATACATTGTTAAATGAAAAAAATCAAAAGACACAGAACAGTGTATTGTGTACTACTATGTGAATAAAATGGTAAGAAAGAAAATCTGTGTATTTGCTTCAGTGAGCATAAGACTTTCTGGAAGACACATAAGAAGCTGACATTGGTTGCTGATGGAGGACTGGCAGGAATATGTGGAAAGAAAACCTCACATGCACACTATTGTATCATGTACATTTTTAACCATGTGAATGAACAGTAATAAATGTAAAAAGAATGGAGTTACAAACATGGGCAATAAGAAGAGGTGACTTAATGTGAAATAAATTTTGAGGGATATCAGGAAGTGAGAAAGTCAATGAATTTGGACTAAGAGATCAGAACAGAAAACATTGCAATTTAAGAAATCATAGATTAGAGTGGACTTTGCCAAGGAAACACCAATTTCAGAGTCAATGGACACAAAGAGCGGGATAGACCGAAAGGAAGCGTTATGGCAACTCATGAAGGAGCTGCAGGGGCAGCAGGTAGGACAGGTGCGCCCTTTCCTCCCTCTCTCCTTTCTCCAAGCACCTATCATCCGCTACAGCTGTGTTTGGCCTTGGCCCTCAGGCTAAAGTTGCCCAAGGAGGACTCCAGGGAGGGTGCTGAGGCCTGAACGACAGATGAAAAAAAAAGAAAACAAAAGGAAAACTAGCATCAGTCAAGCGTGAAACCCTCTGAAAAGTTCCCCCCTCCCCCCATAGAGAAAAGCCCTCCTTACTTTATCGGTGTGGGGGGTCCTTGGCTTTCCTGCCTCTCCACCCACGTAACCCAAAGGGAAGCCTGCCTACTGACAGGCCCCGCCTACTTAAACAGAACCCACAGTCAGCCCTCCCATTCTGGAGAGGCAGGTTTGTGGGGGAAACAGATAAACACAATTGCAGAAGAAACCGTGCCATCTGCCCATACAACTGGCACAGCTCTTCATTCATAAATGTGGCCAGACAACTAAGGATCATGACACATTTGAGAAAAACCATGAAAATGAAAGAGAGGGCCCAAAATAAACAAATGGAACTGACCCCAGAGGAAAGAGAGATAACCAAGGGAATCAAAGAACACTTGATACAAATACATTCTGATTTGTGCCGCCAGAGAGGGCAGTCACTGTTATTCCACCAGGTTAGAATGTTTTGCAACTTCCCTTTCTAGCCCCTTAAAAGAAAATTTAGTAATTTGGAAAAGATTTTACTCATGTCTTACAATGTGTCAGAAAGAAAGGATTCTGAGATTATTTTTTAAATGTGGTTCTTTCCTCTAGGGGCTTATGGTAGGGAAAGCAGACACGTCAGTGATGATGTAATGTGGCAAATGCTGTGATGGATTAAGCACAGCAAGAGGGCACCTTGTCAGCTAGGAGGGGATGCTTCTCAAAGAGGGTGTCTTTCCAACACAAACGGATGAGAAAGAAGGGTCTGCGGGGTCACAGTGAACAAGTTGAACGAGTATATCACATTCAGGAAAATAAAACTAGCTTGATATTTTTGATGCTCAGGGTTGGGCAGGAGCACGATGTGGGAGATGAGGATAGAAAGGTGGGCAGGCGCTGTGCTAAGAATCAAAGACTCGAGATGCTATCCTTGAGGCTAGGATTTTCCAGACATGTTCAAGGAAAGGAGAACAAACAAAATGCTGATATATTTAACTCTGTGATATGTAGACTGGAAACAATTTTCCTAGCAGAAACTATGACTGTGTTCTAGCTTATCAATATAAAATCACAACCACAAGCATATTCGCACCAAAAACAAGCTGTTGAAGTATGATCCATTGCTTTTTGATTTTGCCCCTTGGTACTTATTTGCTGCAGACAAATCAGTAGCTACCAAAAAGGCAATAGAAGAAAAGAGTGACAGAGATTTAAGAAAACTGTGTGTGAGAAAAACTGAACAATGAAACAATTCCATCCATTAACTTCATTCTGTGAACTAAGAAAAAGATGGTCAGTATTTGACTTTGGCTGGAGACTCCGTCATGTACTCCGTGGATCTACAAATTTCCTGGAAACTAAGCTAAAGGGTCACTTTATGTATTAAAGGAGCCAAGCACTCTTAAAGAAGCCCCAACACCAGGCCAAGCATTTCTTTGTTCAGGGAGAGACAAAGTTTGGGGGTTCCTGACACAAAGGATGTCTGATACAGAATCAGAAGTCAGAAAATAGAGTGAAAGATTTAGGAGTAGGAAAGGCAGTCCAGCTAGAGGAACAGGCAGACAAGGGATGGAGAAAGCGGAGGCTTCACGATGGAAGTATGAGCAGGATTTTCTGCAGCTAATCTCATTCAGGATGAACATGCCTGGATACTCTTGTCAATCGGCTTCCTGGCTCTGGTCCAGAGTTTTAGGTGGTTAAAGTAGGTTCAATGATGTGGTCAGTTATAAGATTTAGAATTAACATTCTGCGGGCAGTATGGAGGCTAGATGGAGTAGAGCAGGAAGGGAAAAGAAGAGCTAAATTAGAGAGGTACAAGTCAGTGTTCTAGGAGAGAGGGGATACAGGCCTGGGCTAAGATGTTGGAGAGATGGAGAGAAGTGATGACAATTAGGAAGCTTTCGGGGTTGGGGGAGGGGAAGAAGCCACTGGAGTTGAAAAGTAATCTGGGCAAGTGGGAGGGAGGACTCAGGGATGACTCCTAGGTCGCTGACCTGGAAAATTAGGTAGGTGGTGGTACCAGTCACTGAAATAGGGAGAGCAGGTCTGGGGTGGAAGTGGAATGGGGAGTTGAGCTAAATTTGGGCACTGCCAAATGTGAGGTATAGGATATGCAGGTGGGGCTATTCAGAGGGGTCCTTGCAAATCTGATGTTCAGGGCTGCAGTTATAGAGTTGAGATTTATCATAATGAAGGCGATAGCAAAAATCAAAAAAGCGAATGGGAATCACTCCAGGAAAACATGGAGAATGAGACCAAGGGAGGGGAGGGGAGAGCAGAAAGAAGAGGAGGGGAGGGCAACAAAGATAATGAATGCTTGAGTTTCGAGCGGTGCAATGAGAGAATGGGATCGATCACGTGAAGAAGGGCTCTCAGAGGCAAGAGGGGAAGAGTTTTCAGAAGGGTGGCCCCAGCATAACAGGTCAGCGGCATCATTGAAGGATCGCTGAAATGGAACTCTAAAGGGTATGCAGCCAAAAGTATTCCTGAGGTAGCAATGGTGGGAGTAGTTTCAGGGGGATGTTGTGGGCAGGATTCAGACGGCAGGAGGTGGAGAGCAGGAAGCCGAGGCAGGGAGACAGGACAACTACTCTTCTGAAAGTTGGTCACATGAACAAATCCTAACATCCTCTGCATCTCTGTGGTCCCTCCCGTGTCCTCTCCTGGGGAGCTTCGCCGAGCCCACCTGCAGGGGGGCCTTAAAGCTCTGGCATTCTGTAACTGTATGAAACTGACCCTAGAAAAGTCCTTGAGCTCATTTTGGCTCCCATGATAACTCTCCTTCCGTGGAACTAAGGTTACTTGTCTAAGAACTGAAGCTTGATCAAAGTTCAGCACGTGCACTGAAGCCACCGCCCTGGCAGATGCAGTCAAGAACTTCAGTGATCTTGGGCCCAGGACAGGATGCCGGGGCGTGGGAGGGGAACACAGCAGATGCAACTGTACACAGAGCATGCCTGGCGCAGCAGCTTGTAACATTTCCTATTTGTCTCTCAAAACAATTTCATAGGAATCCCCAAAAGCAAGCTTCTAGACCAGGTTTCTAGATCATGGTTTCTAGAGCAGGTTGGGATGTGGGGCAGAGATTTCCACAACCGCTTTTATTTCGAAGGCAATCCGATAACATGATACAAAAACCATCTAGAAATTCACAATCCTACACACCTTAATGCTACAATTCATTCTTTAAATGTGGGTGTTCTTTATATCATTACTGTTCATTTGTCTTTTACTAGTATATAAAGAGCTGGCGATTATTTGGAAAACTCATATCTTAGGTTAAACAGATTCCAAAAATATACAGAATGAGAGTGGCTTATTTCTTGACACGTTTCAAGATTTTTCTTGCACACATTTATTTGGTCTTCACAAGACCCTATAGGGTCAGCAATACAGATGCAACTGTCCCCTCTGGAAGTGAAGAAACTGAGGTCTAGAGAGGTAAAGATATTTGCCTGAGATCCATAGAAATTTATTGGTAGACCAGGCAGAAGTTAGGTCTTTTAACTACAGCATATTTTCCCTATTCCTGATCCTTACGTCATCACCAACAATGATCTGGTGGATTGGTCCCGGGCAGCCAGGCAAATTGGCTAAATTGAACTTATGTTCTTACTTCACCCTCAACCCCAGAATTCTGGTCTGATCTCTTTCAAGTGCACTTTTCTCTGGTTATGAGAAATTTATTTTTTCTTGAATTATCTTTCCAGCTAAATTTCATTTAATCATTATCTGCACTCCTTCTCACTCGATGATGCCTTGTGGAGTAGACTGGAAAAGTCGCTAAGATTTCACTGGGTTTAAAGATGAATGAAGTCTTGAGGAGCAATGAGCTAGTGCCACACCTGTCAGGAAATCAATCCAAACTTTTGTTGACATCTGTTTCTGTCCCCATATACCAGGTTCCCGCTTTACATTAGTAAGATTGAAATCGAAATAAGTCTGTTGCTGGTGGATTAATTTGTCACTTTCCTTGAAACTGGAGAAACCAAAAATTAGACCTTATAGGAAAATACTGCCATTGTCTGTTAAGGAGTCTATGACATTTCAAGGCAAGAATGAATATATGGAAGAAGACTAACAAAAGGGAAAGGCTGGACGTGAATGATACGGGTATACTTTGAAAAAAAAAAAAAAAAACCTTTACGTAACATTTTTGCTGGGAGAGAAGACTACAAAGCACATTTTCCAGGAAGTGTGGGCTGCGACGATTGTGCGCCCTTAACTAATCCTGAGTAAGGTGGCCACTCTGACAGACTTCTCATGCTGCTTTTGCCACGTTCTCCGCCAGAAGCTACCGTCGCAACTCGAACACAGCATGATCGAAACATACAGCCAGCCTGCTCCCCGACCTGTGGCCACGGCCCCGCCGGCCACTATGAAAATTTTTCTGCATTTACTTACTGTTTTTCTTATCACCCACATGATTGGGTCAGCACTTTTTGCTGTGTATCTTCACAGAAGATTGGACAAGGTAAGTTGGACCCTAAAACTTTATTAACTAAATGTGGGGTCCTTATTGATTTGTGTTGCTTGATTTTAGTTCTACCTAAATGATAGGCAATGGAAGGCATGCAGAGAGATCAAAGGTCCTGAGGTGTGATGCTTGTTGTCTGCTCAGCCAGGTCTGTTCTTGTCCCTGGTCAAGAGCTCTGGTTCTAGAGTCACACTGCTTAGGCACGAATCTTGATTCTGCCCCTGACCAGATCTGTGCTCTGGGGCATGTTACTTTCTAGTTCTGTGCCTCAATTTCGACAGCCGAGAAATGGCGATGCTAATGGCACGCACCTCAAAGATTAAGTGAATTTCACCCTGTAAAGGTTCAGAACAGAGCCTGGTACCAAGTAATTCCTCTGCTCACATCAGCTCTAATGATTTACACAAGTTTTGCTCAAACAGTGGACAATTTTTGTTCTGAGGGAGACGACTTTTTTTCTTTTCAATGTCCAAATGGAGGAGAGTGTCACTTTGATCTGAATTTGCCCAGTGCTGCAGCTTGGCACAGCCACGGATGAGCCCACAGTTTGCAGGCTTTTAGTAAGTGTGGCGTTTTTTTCTGTTATTTTTCAAATGCTGATTTAGCTGCAAGTTGCTCTGTTTCCCTGGAGATGTTTTACATTCTTAAATGGTTGGGCTGGCAGGAACAAAAGCAGAGAATAACTTAGTAGGTTGTTTTGCATTCTTAGGAAAAAAGAGGGCCATTAGGATTTATCGTGTTTTAACGCATTTATCCACTTCCACTGAGGGGCATTATTGGCTGTGTTGACAAAATATCAATCATCGATGAAAAGGAGAAATTTGATCACTTATCTGGCTGATCCTAAATGCCTGGGTGTAGGAATCCTGGGTGCGCATGAGTCGAGACTGCATTTTCTCGGGGATGTTTGAGCATACTCTGCTGGGATGCTGACCTAGAGTTACCGCCACTGGGTTTTCTAGTGGGGTAAGCGGAGCAGTGACCGGCAAACGGCGATTCCCCAGCGAACGGGAACTCAGGGCTTCTCTGCTGAGAAAAGAGAGAAGTCCTGGGTCCAGTAGGTTGTTTATTGGACCTGGTGGGCAAATCAAATGCCTGGACATAAGTCTAGCCTCTACAGGGGGAATTATCGACCGGGAGGACGCAACGTTACCATAGCTGCTGGGTATGCTCTGGGATAATGGAAGCCACCGGCTAACTGGGTCTGGTTTTAAATGTAAAAATTTAATCCTAAAACAAGAATTAGTTGATTATGCAAGTGAATTCCATACATTTAATTATTCTGAGGCACTGGAAAATAAAATAGCTCATTAACATTGGGAATGAAAGATGATTTCCTTAAAAATGCAAATATTTTCTGCAAACACTAAAGTGATAAAGAGGGAGATGTAATTAGAACTCGAGTTAATTGACACACATTGTAAATTAACTGCTTTTTATAAAGCCCTGCATCACAAGCACTGAAATGAAGTGGGCAAATTAGCTCAGCAGAAAACTACTTTTTATAGGCTGAGTTTATAATGACCAATCATTACTGGGGCAGTGGGAAATAGGACAATTATAGAATGTTATTGCTATCATACACTGGAAAAGTATACTTTTGTGATGAAATTTTATTAGAATAGCTGTGATTTCTGAGTTCTTTCCAGAGATTCAGATAATATGACATCTTAATTGCTGGTTTTTGTAGATTTTGTAACTGCAAATACCAAATAGCAATAGTCCAGCATAATAACATTTATTCCCCATTTATACCTGCAAAGTCCTCCTCCTATTGTGAGTGCTGCGGATGTGAACGTCTAGGCAGACATCATTAGCGCCATTGTCCAGAATTACTTCTCATGTCCCTGTTATTTCACGAATAGATAGAAGATGAAAGGAATCTTCAAGACGATTTTGTGTTCATGAAAATGATACAGAGATGCAGCGAAGAGAGGCCCTTATCCTTACTCAACTGTGAGAAGATTAGAGGCCAGTTTGAAGTCTTAGTGCAGGTAAGGAGCTCCGTGGTTGGGAAAAACATCATGGAAAAGTCTTATTCCCTTTGCTTGGTTGGGAAACTGAAATCTGACAGCACAGAGCTCTAAACATTTATAACATACATATGTGCGTGTGTGTGTGTGTGTGTGTGTGTGTGTGTATCTAACATCACAGATAGTGCTATGGGTATAAAGATACACAGAATACATGTGGGTGTGCATGTGCGTGCACATGCACAGATGCATGCATACACACATGGGTGGATTTATCAAAGAAAAAAAAAGCCAAAATGGAGCCAAAATCCTGCGTTGTGAAGGAAAGGGAAGTTGGGAGCGTGCACATCATCATTCGAGAAGCACAGAAAGGCTCTGGGCAGATCACACACTGTCATGGGCACGTGCACACTGCCTCAGCCTCTGAGCAAAATTAGGAAACACAGCAATTTTGGTTTTTACATTTCTTTATTTTCCCATCCAAACCATGGTGACTTCTCTCTGTGAATCCACGTTCTAGTCCCCGTTTCCAGAACCCCATTTTCTCAGGTTAGGGAAACACTAACCATTGGTCGCTGCAGTGTTGGCTCGCAACAGGTTAGGACTTTGCTTTTACTAGGGTAGCAGGGACTTCTGAAGACTGATCCACTCTAACTAGCGAAATGCGTGCATCTCTAATGATGGAACTTCAGGTGCCATGACAGTGAGATCTTTTCCTTCCCTTGTGAGGAGAGGTGTGGGGAGTGGGGGTTGATGGACCTTCCTAGTGTCGCTCAAGCCACACCACACTGGCTCTTGAGGCCAGTCCACTCTAGGGCTGGTCAAGACCTAGATGGGGAGAATTTAAGCCTCTAGCCCAATAGGCTGGTACCCAGCGCCAAGTCACTGCGGTGACTGTGGCCTATGATGGGTACCTAAAATAAGTACTTTTAGAGCGCTTATTGAGGCTGCTCCTACAACGTTCATTCCCTCATCAGGGACAAGGGGCCTAGGGGGTTCTTTCTCCTGAAACAGGACTTCAAGAAGTCTTTTGGCCTGTTTTCCCCTCAGGACACCAACTCAAATACCTTGACCCTCAACTGACTTTGGGGTCATGAACAGAAGGCAACACTCCACGTTGAGGGTAGCTCTGTGCCACGTGGGTGGGTATCAGGATAAACCGCAGGGGTTACTTCTTGTATCTGTAGCTGGTGTGTAATTTAACCCAGGAGCTAAGGGTTTCAACTCTTATTTCTGAACTTATTCCAGACCTCCTGTCCAATCCCAGCTGTGTGGTTTAATCCGGTAGTAAACACTCTGAGAGCTGATTCCCGAGTCACCCACTGGAATCCAAATCCAGTTCAAATCTGCTGTTGGCTTTCGGGTTCTTTACTTTAGGTTTTAGATGAAGACTCCTAAATCTTTATTTGCAAGGCTTGAAAATGATTTGAGCTTCTCTGGTTCTTTGAGGATTTTGGTCGGTTTTACAGAGCCTTAGGAGGTGTTGCAAATTTAAATGTAAATAAAACCATTTTCAGAACAATGGTTAATAATCCAAATAGCATGTTTGATTAGGCTTGGCTTTGTGGCCTTGGGCAAATGACTTCACCTTTCTTGGCCTCAGTATTCTCTCCTATAAAACAATGAGAGGACTGGGCCTCCCCTGGTGGCGCAGCAGTTGAGCGCTGGTCTGCGAGGCTACGGGCCTCTGCAGCACCGGTTTGTTCCACGGCCGCAGGCGAGGGTCCCACCAAAAAAAAAAAAAAAAAAAAAAGTAGAAAACAATGAGAGGACTGAGATTATCTGTAAGAACATGACCAGCTGTGACATTCTGGAATAACATGATTAGCCTTAAGCTCCCTCCAAGGGCAGCATGGAAGGGTTGGGTCCCCCTCCCATCCTATCCTTACTATTTTACAGTTGACCTGCCAATTCCTCATGACCTTATTTCGGGTCGAATATTTGAAGCTTCCCAAACCAGCTACCCAGAATAGGAGTCAGGAAAACAGTTTGGCCCCTTTGCTCATGCTTGCATGAAAAAAAGGACAGCTCCAAAGTTTCATAGTCTAAAAAGGCAGACCTCAGCCATGTCACCCAAGGCCCCTCACATGTGACCGAGGAGGGCTCTTGCCTCGATGGCAGCAGGGGTGGAATCCCTGCCGACGTCATCAGTAGCGACAACATGCACGATGGTCAGACACAATCTCCAGCTACCCAATCTTCCTCCAATGCCCACCCCTTTCCAACCCACATTCCCTAATTTCTCATCCTACAACAGTATTTTGGACTTTTGTTTAACCCCAACAGGCCAACTACAGAACCCCAAATGGGATCTTTATATTCCTCACTAATGTTAGCAGACTTTCCTTCTGGGTCACAATCTGACTAGTTCAGAGTAACCTAAGGTTTGGGTTTTTGGGCTCCAAATCATAGGGCCTGGCAGTATATTAGAAATCATCAAGTCCAATTCTCAATCCAGAACTTCAGTCTTCGCTATCAAATTTGGGACCCAATCTCTCACCCAACTGGTGAGATTGGGTGATTGGAATGTCACCCTATCTGTGTTTGAGCATCTCTAGTGACAAGGAACTCATATCTCTTGTGGCTGATAACACCAAGCTCCCACTTCGTGGGGGGAAGATGAGATTCTGGGCTTAGGTTAGGGTAAGTAGAGGCAGCATCTTGAACAGTGTGATCTCACATTTAAACCTCCTTCCCTCCCTGACCCCTGCTAGAATGAGCAAGTCCGTGATTGCCCATCAATGCCCCGGATGAGCAAGGCAGCTCACTTTGATAAGGTCAAAGCATTTCCTTTTCAAGGCAAATGTCGACCTGGCCATCCCTGCCACTCAGAGTTCCCACTAAGAGGGAAAGAACTAATTCCAGATCTTCTGAAAGTCAACTTGAAAAAGGCTTTCAGTTGAGATGGGGAGCAAAGCAATGAACAAAATGAGGCTCTGGGGCGTGGAGCTGGGGGAAAGTTCACAGAAAGGCGAGGCTGGGCGCATGAAAGACCAAGCTGCTGACTTCACGCTTTCATCTCAGCAGGCCCCGGCCCCAGTGCACCCACCCCACCTCAAAGTATCTCAATCTCAAGCATCACACTCCATTTTTTTTGAAAAGACACTAAATACTCATTTGTTTACTGGTTATCTCACAAACATTTTCCTGTTGCTGCATGTTCGCAGAGCCACACTTCAGCTCAAATGGAAAATTGAGGCTCTGCCCCCCCACCCCCCGTGAGCGCTGAGAGCTGCCACTTCCCCTTTGGGTGCCACGACTGACACCTCCCATCGAGTGACTGAGCTGAGCCTCCACCAGGGCACCCACAGCACCCACACAAAGTCTTGCTTGAGGATGGACGGGAAGGGAGGGCCCTGTAGAAGCGCATCCCTGTCTTGGGAAGGAGCGCCCGGCTTCCCCCAGAGCCGTGAATGCTGCCGTGGGGGGCGCGAGTAAGCCCGGTCCATGGATGGGATCTCTCAGTTTCTGCTCTGGCTTCGGCCTCAGACTCCCTGGCTCACCTCATGCCAGCCAGTTAATCCCTCCAGGCCTTTGTTCCGGATCTTTCAAGTGGCAGCTGTAGCTTTTATTACCTGCACCAATGACAGTTGCTGCTGGATCCCTTGGGTACCCCCAGTGTTCCTTCGGTGGTTGAGTTTTCTTAAGAAAATGCTTAAGGGAGGGCTTGGGGTCAAAATAAGGGGGTTGCAATTGTATGGGGAATATAAAAATAAAATTTACTAAAAATAAATAAATAAGTAAATAAATTTCAAATGAATAAATAAATAAATTTCAAATAAATAAATAAATAAATAAACAGATTTCAAATAAATAAAGAGAAGTATTGCCTTTGCAAAAAAGAAGATAAGTTACCAGAGGGACTAGGAGAAAGGGCGGAGAGGATAGAGAGGGAGGCAAATGGGGTATGGCCATGGGCAGTTTGGGGGAGGAATCAAAGAAAAAAATAAAATAAAAAGTGAAAAAGACCAGGAAATTCAAACCACATTGTCTAATATAAGGCTTAAAAGTCTCTGTATCCGTGAATAAGTGGCGCTGATGTAAACAGTATAACTGAGGGAGAAGTGTTGCATTTGCCCTTGAACATCAGCACTCTGACTGGTTGGTACCTGTGGTCCCTACGTGCTGATTATTCCAAATAAGCCTCAACCAGACAGGGCAACCGGAAATAAGGGGATCTCCTCAACTGTTGAAAGAGATAACAGAATAAAAAATTGCTGAGCTTCTTTCCATAGTCTGGGAGTCCTCCCTAGATCAAACTTACTTATTGCCATTTCCTAAGAGATTTCAGACCACTGTTTCTCTAGTAAATACAGACCGTGCTTTATGTTGAATAATATCCTATAGGCCAGTTCCCAGCGTAGACTCATCTCCACAGTCAGCATTATTTGTCAATACTTGTCAAAGCCAGGGAGGCTGGGGTCACGGGAAGGGTTATGGGAACAGCCTCTGGTCTGGAGAGAGCACGGGAATGGAGATAATAAGGCCCAGAGTCTGCTTCCAGATGCACCCCTGGGCTTTCGGGGCTGTCAGCTCATCTGTCAGATCCATGGGCTTCCAGTGGGTATGCCGGAATTAGTGACGGGATCGGACTCCGTTAGATAATCCTCCCCAGAAACAGACAACGGAGTAATGACAGATGCCAGATGCACGACACCTCTAAAGCCCCATAGCAGAGTTCCTGTCAAAATGACCTTTTGCAATGATTCTTATTTTAGGGTGTCATGCAAAAACTCAACGAGGTGAAGATGGATGAGAATAAGTTTCAAAAGCAAAAAGGTAGGTTGCAATTTACCAATTCCTCTGAATACTTGAAACGGGAAAGGAAGCTTTAGGTTGGTTGTATTGAACAAACACCACGGTGAATCAGGAACTCAATTCTGGAGATACAAGGGAAATACAATCATCAAATTGATGCCATCTCTGTTGACTGTGATTTGGAAAGGTTTTACAGGTATGAATTGACAGGGAAAGCTGTGTTCCTTGAACACAGCTGGCACTCCCACGTCTGAAGAAATCCCATACCTTTGAATACCTCAATCAAAGAGGCCCTAAGGCCTGGTACCACCTGCAGAGAAGGAGATGCCAAGGAGATCACCCTTTGGTAGCAAGGGTGCTCACGGCCCAACGATGACAGTCATTGATCAGGAAGCATCGCCAGAGGCACCACTGGGAGCAAGGAGTGATTCAGTGTGAGCGAGCACGCTCTACTCTTTTTCCTGTTCTTAACATTGCAGTAGCTTGAACATCTCAGGCCTGGGAGGGCCCAAGATGGCCCCAAAATCCAGCAACATTCCCAGAGCACACATCTCCTTTACATCACCTGCCTTCAGATCAAACATGTCTAGGGACCTTCTACCTCCTAAAGCAACCTGGCCCATCCTCACTGGCTCAAATAGTCATAGCTAGATTACTACACTGCTTGAGAGAAGTCTCTTCTCCTCTGGGGTTGAAATTTGTTCCAGTAATCTCTACCACTGGACCCAGTTCTGCTCTTTAGGGTCACATCAAACAAAGTTTATAATTCCTCTCCCATGCAGCAGCTGTCCAGATGTCTCAGGCCCCTGAGATCTCTATTCAGCAGGTTAATCCTCCCCCTGGGGTCTTCCCTATTCCTCCCAGGACCCTTTTCAGGGTCCCTCCCCCTCCTAGATACTTCTTCTTCTGGACACATTAACTTTCAAAACAAACACCAAAATGCCTGAAGTGACCTGAGCAACTGGGGATGGGAAAGCTGGAGGACTGATGAAAGACTATGATGTCACAGAGTCAGGGAAGATATAAATAGTACCTTCTGTAAAATTAATACACACCAAAAAATCCAGATGCAAATACTGTTTCCTGGGGCAGAGACTTGTTCTAATTATTGGTCTGGATTCAAAGGGTCATCTGATTTCCATGAAAGTCTTGTTTTGGCACGAATGTGACGTCTGTCGAGTGCCACCATGCTGCCTGTTAACTACAGCGACATTTAAGGAAACAGTTGGTGTGAATGCTGCCTGTTAGCCTTTAGGAAAATGACAAACTTCACACAACCGGTAACCGAGGTCATGCAACCTGACTCTACCTTCCAGGACACTACAAAGTGTCCCGGACCAGGCTCATCACTGCAAAGAGAGAAACTTCCACATAGTCTGAGCGCTTAGCAGATCAGCACACTTAATTAAGGAGCAAGCTTTTCATGTGAGAAGCAATTAGAGAAAAACACAATAGCCCGGCCAGTTGCTTGACCAAAGCAGACACCATAAGCATCTTACTAGCAAACTGTGCACACACGACCCCCAATGGATGGGAGGTATCCCTAAAGGCAAACTGCGAGATGTTTAAGGAAGACCAGTGTTTTCAGCCTGTGTCAGTCTACGGAGTGTGGAGTCACGTGCTGGACAGCCACGAGAGGAATGGGACCAGAGGGAAAAGCTGCTTCGATTGTTCAGATTTTAAAAGTCAACTTTTTCCTCCAGGAAAGGGATTTCGGATTATTTCACTCTGCCTTTTACCCCGTCAAGCGCGGTCTCTGGGATACAGCTGTCCAACTAGACTAAATAGTTCTGTGGACAGTGATATGACTCGGGCCTGACAGTTTGCTTTTGGTTTCATTTTAGGTGATCAGGCTCCTCAAATTGCGGCACATGTCATAAGTGAGGCCAGCAGTAAAACAGCCTCTGGTGAGTCCAAAAGCATCTGCACATCAGCCACCCAAGGGGGGAGGTTGGGATGCTGTAGCAAGGCAGCCTAATGATCAGGCTCCTCTCTTCCTCTGGGGTCCAATTTACAAACCTATCTGTGCACCTCTGCATGCTCCCTTTTGTCTTCAAAGTGAGCGCAAATGCACAGATGGGACTTGGAAGGATGGAAGGAGGAGGGACTTCTCATTATAGTCTTGCTCCGTGGCTGATTCTGAGTGATGGATTGCCGAGCGCAGGGACCGTTATTCTGATTAAACAGAAGAGATGGCGGGTAGTGACCTCCTGCCTGGGAGCACTGCTCCTCCTAACCCCTCTTCGCTGTGTGTAAATGGGCCTCGGGGGATGTTCCCTGCCATCTCTCAATCCCTGTATGATTAACCCCAGCCTCACTGGGGCCAACCTCAGGGAAATTAAAGGTAAAATCATTCTGCAAAGATCAATAGGTGCCAGGATGTTAGCTTTTCCACTGAAGTAACAACCGATGACATGCTGTAATCTTGTCAACTTTGAGTGATTTTATTTCCATATACATTCTGCCATCATTCTAGCCATTAGATCTTTTTTCCCAAATCTGTACCTCACCGGAGCTGGTGCTGGAGAATGTGTCGCATCTGATAAATGGATGGAACATGTACGCCAGCATGAAATCCCCCATCTGCCTCGATAAAGCCGTTAGAGGGCAGTGAGACCGAATCTGAAAAATTCAGCACAGTGCCCCGGAATGGAGTGTGTGAGAGTGAGTGTGTGTGTGAGAGTGTGTGTGAGAAAGAGAGACAGAAACACAGAGAAAGACAGAGAGACAAGACAGGAGAGGAGACAGCGCCTGGCCTTGCAGGGGTGTGGGCTTCTCAGTCGGGGTGACATGGGCGTGGTCATCCTAGATCATGGTTTCGGGAGGAGGAGAGCTGGCAGGATGCTTCAACACTGACATTCAAGACCCGTGACCATCACTGGCTGGGTGACAGTGGGCGAGTCCCTTTACCTACGCAGTGCTTCCTGCCTCACTAACGACGCAGGGTAACAGAGCATCCCATCGGCTCAGGTGGAAGAAGGTTATTGACAAGTACTACCCACATGCCAGGGGTCATGACTTTGCTTATTTCGCTGGCATTGAGCTGTCAGAAGAGTGACATAAAGCCCTTCATCAATACCAGTTACTTAATAATTCCGCCAATTACCTTTCTCTCAAAAAATACACTTCTGGGATAATGTCACGGTTGCAGGGAGGTCAGGGTGGCCAGCCACACGACGCTGTCTCATCTGGAGTAGATGACAGTGATGAGACACCACTGGTCTTTGTCCACTGTGTCTAAACCGTCCTCTTGGATATATTATTTCCTGCTGCTCGGGTTCAGCTAAAGGGCCCAGGACTGCCACCAGCCATCTGCAGTCCGCAGCACTGTGGGCTCGCGGGCTCGGTTGGAAGACAGTAACTTCCGTGTCCCTCCCCAGTCCCGACTTCTCCTTCCCA